AAAGAGTGTGTCCTTTAAAGGCGCAAAAAATGTCGGAAGCAGTTTTTTTAATTTCTTTTTCATTTTCTAGCAAATTGGATTAAGAGGTGAAAAAAGGCGTAAAATTGACCTATTTACAACTCATTCAGGCTTTTCAGATTTTAAAATATTTTTACGTAACTTTTATAAACTTGTAGCTATAATCCATACGAAGAGAATGTATGTGAAAATTAGTTTGTAATATAAGCAGTTGCCGAGAAATAGGCAATTTTGCATGAGTCACTTTTCACGTAATTTTGGCTGTAAAAGAATCAATTATTATTCGATTTTCAATTTTCTTTCGCCATTGGATGCCTAATGCCATAGTGGACTATGTCAAACCATTTTACCCCTTGCGCTGCCACCGGAAATGACGTCATTTGCTCAAAACTTAAATTTTAGCCTTCAAAAAACAATATTTTATTCAAATGATTCGTATTTGTTATTTTTTTCAAATTATGATATTTGATTCTATTGATCAAATAGATTGAACCCATACGATCATACAGATACCACAAAATGGTTTCTAACTTGTACGGTTGCAGAGAAATGGGCGATTTTCCTTAAGTCACTTTTCAAGGTTTTTGGTCTATAAAAGTGTCAGTTATTATTCGATTTTCATAAAATTTTCACCATATGATATCTTGTGTCATTTATGATTTCATAGAACTAATTTAACATTTTCATTATCACCGGAAGTAACGTCATTTTGGCAAAAACTGTATTTTTAGCCTTCAAAACAGATATTTTTTTCAAATGAGTCTTATTTGTATTGTTTTTAAAATTATGATATTTGATTCCAATCAGCAAATAGATTGAACCCATACGATCATACAGATACCAGAAAATGGTTTCTAACTTGTACGGTTGCAGAGAAATAGGCGATTTTCTACAAGTCATTTTTCAAGGTTTTTGGTCTATAAAGGTGGCAATTATTATAGGATTTACATAAAATTTTCACCATGTGATCATGCTATTTCTGATTTCATAAACCAATTTAACATTTTCATTATCACCGGAAGTAATGTAATTTTGACAGGATCACTGACATGTAGCAAATGAATTGATTGCTGGATTTGGTTGTTTCTGCGTCCATTTTATTTCATGTGTGCAATGCTTATGTGGAAACCTGTTTAACGGTTTCATTGGTACCGGAAGTGACATAAGTTCAAGGGTAACGTGGCACCGGTGAAACCCGTCATTACTGCTTCGCAGTTCTAGTTAGGGTTTCACACTGCGTAGCTTGTGTGAAACACTATTGTTTTTGTTAAAATTATTATTCTTATTATTATTATTCTTCTTTTGTTTTGAGTAGATCTCAGCAACTGATTGTCGGATCGTTACGATTTCTTCGGTTTTATCGGAAAAGTGGGTGTGACTTAGAGGATAAAGCTATTTTGAACGTTCTGCGACAATGCGAAATGTCCGAAATCACCGAAGCTATCGTTTTTAGAAATATTGCAGTAATTTTAACAATAATCATTGGATTTTAACTTTCGATGCATTTTGGCATAGCCGGAGACGGGGCACATAGCTACGCTACTTTTGATTTTTGATTTTCGGCAAATCTTCGCAGATATTAGGCGCTAAATTTAGAAAATTTAAATTTTTACAAAAAACTTTTTTATTTATGAATATTTTTTAATCGTGTTTTACACAAATATAACGAGTCCTCTGACTTGGGCAAAAATGTGAAAATTTTTTGTCTCGGTAATTTTCCTTGGCCCCCATTGGCTAATTCAGTTTTTCAGTCCTAGATTAATTATTTATTGTTCGATTTGTATAAAACAAAGTTCATATGCCCCGTTGTCTCAATTGTCATTTTTTTTGTTACCAATAGTGTTATCTGTCGGCACCGGAAGTGGCGTAAATTGACAAAAAACTACAATTTTGACAGTTAGGTACCATTTTTCGAAAGCAAATATTATTTTTTTCAAATCTGGTATAACTGAAATTGTGCGCCCTTTAAAGGCGCACAAAATGTTGGGACCAGTTTTTTTAATTTCGATTCCGTTTTCGGGCTATTTCGATTAAAAGGTGAAAAAAGGTGTAAAATTAAGCTATTTACAACCCATCCAGCGTTTTCATATTTTAAAATATTACTTCGTAACTTTCATAAACTCGTAGCAATAATCTATACGGAGAGAATGTATGTGAAAATTAATTTGTAATATGCGCAGTTGCCGAGAAATGGGCAATTTTGCATGAGTCACTTTTTACGCTAGTTTGCCTGTAAAAGAGTCAATTATTATTCGATTTTCATAAAAGTGACACCATTTGATGTGTAATGTCAATTTTAACTAGGTCAAACCAATTTAACATTTTCAATATCACCGGAAATGACGTAATTTGGGCAAAAATTGTATTTATAGCCTTCGAAACCAGTAATTTATTCAAATGAGTCATATTTGTTATTTGTTTAAAATTTTGATATTTGATTCAAATCAACTAATACAATGAACCCTTACGATCATATAGATATCACAAAATGGTTTCTAACTTGTTCAGTTGCGGAGAAATAGGCAATTTTCAACAGGTCACTTTTTAAGGTTTTTTTGTCAATAAAAGTGTCAATTATTATTCGATTTTCATGAAATTTTCACTGTGTGATACATAATGCCATTTACGATATCATACAAGTAATTTAAGATTTTCATTATCACCGGAAGTAACGTCATTTTGGCAAAAACTGTATTTTTAGCCTTCAAAACAGATATTTTATTCAAATGAATCAGATTTGTAATGTTTTTAAAATTATGATATTTGATTCCAATCAACAAATAGAATGAACTCATTCGATCATACAGATACCTCAAAATGGTTTCTAACTTGTACGGTTGCAGAGAAATAGGCGATTTTCTACAAGTCATTTTTCAAGGTTTTTGGTCTATAAAGGTGGCAATTATTATAGGATTTACATAAAATTTTCAACATGTGATGATGCTATTTCTGATTTCATAAACCAATTTAACATTTTCATTATCACCGGAAGTAATGTAATTTTGACAGGATCACTGACATGTAGCAAATGAATTGATTGCTGGATTTGGTTGTTTCTGCGTCCATTTTATTTCATGTGTGCAATGCTTATGTGGAAACCTGTTTAACGGTTTCATTGGTACCGGAAGTGACATAAGTTCAAGGGTAACGTGGCACCGGTGAAACCCGTCATTACTGCTTCGCAGTTCTAGTTATTATTATTATTCTTCTTTTGTTTTGAGTAGATCTCAGCAACTGATTGTCGGATCGTTACGATTTCTTCAGTTTTACTGAAAAAGTGGGTGTGACTTAGAGGATAAAGCTATTTTGAACGTTCTGCGACAATGCGAAATGTCCGAAATCACCGAAGCTATCGTTTTTAGAAATATTGCAGTAATTTTAACAATAATCATTGGATTTTAACTTTCGATGCATTTTGGCATAGCCGGAGACGGGGCACATAGCTACGCTACTTTTGATTTTTGATTTTCGGCAAATCTTCGCAGATATTAGGCGCTAAATTTAGAAAATTTAAATTTTTACAAAAAACTTTTTTATTTATGAATATTTTTTAGTCGTGTTTTACACAAATATAATATAACAAGGGTAACGTGGCACCGGTGAAACCCGTCATTACTGCTTCGCAGTTCTAGTTAGCTATTTATTTTTATATTGAAGCCCGAAGAACAGGAAATCAAATTGGTGTGGCCAACATTGAAATATCAGATATCAAGGATGAAGTTGCCTTTATCAACTCTTGTAAATCTTTTAATGTACAGGATTCCTGGAAGAATCTATTTTAGAATAAAAAATCCTTTTCATTGATAACTAAAGCAATAATTCCTTTTTTATTTAATACTAATAGTGTTTTCTTTTTCCTTATATATAATTGTTATATCTACTGAAGCTAATTTAATTTCTCAACAAAGCCTAGATCAAAAAGACTATGAAATAATTGCTTACATTGGGGTGGATTTATATAAGTAAACTTTTTTCCAGTTGTGCAAGCTGAAAAAAAAGTATGTGTGTATTTTTTTTTTTTTTGGGGGGGGGGAGGGGGGGCTGCATTTATAAAATTAACTAAATTAAATGACAGCAATAAATAAATGGCCATTTTCTAAAATTATTAATTAGGCCTAGATTGGAAAAGAATTTTGTAGGGATATTACATCTTTATTAACTAAAGTATACAAAGCTGAATTTATTTTAAAAATGCACATTTGAATATAAACAAGATTTTTAAAACTGTTCTAATATACCATGCAATTGATAATAAAATGCAACATCTAATTTTATTAATCATACTATAGATAAACCTATACCGTAGGCCTGTGTGTGGCACAGAGGTGCGGGTTAGTTAGCTCGCAATATAACCTTTTTCCTTCTGCAAATTAAATTGTAGAACATTTTTTTTGAAGTATTAGAAAAATAAAAATAAAGGTGTTTGATGTATTATCTCTATATCAAAAATATTTCCTAATTTTAGTGTAAATTGGTACGGTACATGAATGAAGAAATGCATTTTTTGCCCATTTGTAACCTTTTTTCAACTTAACGTCACTAGTAGCTATTTAATCTTTTGCAATAATCTAAAAATATTTTGGAAGGAGATATCTTGTTCTTTTTTTCATATAATTTTTAAATACGTGTTCATTTTATTAATTTCATAAACGTAAGTTTCAAAAACGTCAATTTCGCGTGTCACTGTGCGTACGTACATGTACTGTCGAAAGCTAGACCGGAAGTAATGGCAAGGAGTAGGGTCGCCTGTCCAACCTCGTGGGTTTTCGTCGGTTCCTCCGGTTTCCTCCCACTGCTAAAGACCCCTACGCGCAAGCGAATTATGTAAATAAAATTAAAACCATATGTTAGTCCCGAAATGACCTAGTTTGTGTCGAGTGGACGTTAAACCCCATTTCTCTCTCTCTCTCTCTCTCTCTCTCGTAGAAAGAATATTTTTCTACAAAATAATCATGAAATCACATGACAAGTCACATGATAAACGTATTCAATATGGCTGATATAACAACTCGTTCACAAAAACATCAAGTTTCAAAGTAATTGGGAACCTGTCTACTAAATGATTATTTTCAACATTCTGCCTTTTTTCTTATCTTATGGAGATTGAGTATTTTAATCAGCGTTGAGATTGTTTTCACGTATGTAACCTTACATTTAAATTTTAAACGGATTTCTTTGATTATGATTGAACAAACTACTTTGAAATCACCTCACGTTAGCCTAAATAAAATCCATTTTACAACTAAATATTCCAAACGAATAAAAAAGTTTTCTCTTGTAGAATTGAACTCATCACAAACTTGGACATCGAGAAATGCAAACATAGTCTAGAAGCTACTGTCTGAACCGGGGATCACGTGGCTATAGTATAAGTGGGTAAGACTGGCTCGCTAGCCTGGAGGTCGGGTGTTCGATCCCTGCATTGGCCGAGAAAGTTCATCCAGATTTTCCGGTGTGGTTCTCCCTTGTCAGTGATGCAGGACGGAGGGGTTGACAAGGAAAGCTGTCTAGTCGTTTGGATGGGACGAAAAAGTGAGGTCCCGTGTACACATTGGCGTGCACGTAAAAGATCCCTTGGCAGTTGGATTTCGATATAAGAGTAGGCCGTAGTGCCGCTGTCCGGGCAAAATTTTCCTCATAGCACACTGTATGGTGTATGCCCATCTTCATTAGCCCAGTTCGGAACAAAACAGTAGCACGTTAAACCCTATTTCAGTTCATTTACTGTCTGAACCGTCGTAAATTTTGGGTGCGGGTCAGTTGATCCCACAACCGTTTTATTTCCGGCTGTTTCATCCCAACCTATTTTTTATCGGGGTGTTTCATCCCCTTGTTATTATAATAGCAGTCAATTAACTGAGTTGTACTTGTTGTTAAATAAACCGTTAAACACTTACTTATTGTTAAATAAACAATGATGTATGGAATAAATAAGTTTTACTCATTGAATTTTGTTGATTACCGATCACGAACGAGATTAGTTGGCTGTATATATTCGTATTGTTTGTTAATTGGCGTTATGATTTTAGATTTTAGGTCAGTTCACCGATGTTTCTGTAGTAAAGTATATATTGTTAGTTAATTGCTGTTATGATTTAAGATTAGTTCATCAATGTTTTTGTAATAAAGTATACTCATATTGTTTGTTAGTTTATGACGTCTAACATCATTTATCTTCTTTATAAAAACATATTTTATAATTGCATATTGACAGCTTAATCACTCGCCAAAATACATCATGGACATATTACCCAATAATCAACTAAATTGCGCAGGAGCCCCTTTTAAATAAGACAAATTAGATTGATATTATTTCGAAACCAACCATAATTAATTTTGAAACTCGTTGATTTAATTTCCGTACATGAAGTAAAACTAAACAACTCCAAATATAAGAATTTCGAATAGGAATCAATTTAGAATACCAAAATGCAAATCGTAACACATTGTGCTCTAAACTGTGTGATAAATTATAAAATAAATCATAATTCAATGGAACCTGTTGTAAGGTGGACACTGCACGCTTTCTTTTAACATTGGGTTATTTAAGGAGCCAGGTAGTCTGAACATCTGAAGATAACATGTGTCGAAATAGTGGCTACGTGCAATTTTATTCTATCACAGGCAATCCTGTTACAGTGAAACCAACATGCATGAAAATGACTATATTACAAGATGAAGGTTTTGCTATGAGCATCGCTCGATTGTAACTTTTGTAAGCCATGTAATTTTAGTGAAATTGGTGTCGAGAATTGGTGTGGATTTGGAAAATAAGCTAAAGCCCATGCAAAGGAAGAAGTGGGACACTATTCATGTTAAAATTGCGTTGGCATATTTTATAAGTAAAATATTCGGAAAATAAGTTAAAGCGTATGCAAAGGAAGAAGTTGGACACTATTCATCATAAACTTGCAATGACATATTGTTAATGGTATTTTAATATGTATAAATATTCAGAAAATAAGCTAAAGTGTATGCAAAGGAAGAAGTTGGACACTATTCATGATAAAATTGCATTGACATATTGTTATTGGTATTAATCAATGTATAAATAAAATATTAAATTTCATGTAATGCCTGTTTTTAAATTTGTGGGATGAACCGACTTGATATAAGTGGGATGAAAGGACCCGAGTAAATTTGGGATGAAACAGCCCAAGATAGTGGGATGAAACGACCTGCTCCCGTAAATTTTAAACAGATTTCTTTGATTATGAACAAACTACTTAAATTTGGTTATTATAAACTTACCTGTGTGTTTGAAATTACCTCCTGTTAAATAAAATCCATTGTACAATTAAATATCCCAGCGAATATAAAAGTTCTCTTTTGGAAATGTGGTCGTATATTGCTGTCGCCCCCGTCCGTCCGTCGGTCCGTCCGTCCATCGTCCACAATTTCTTGTGAACACTCTACAGACTACATTTATCAACCGATTGTTTTAAAATTGATGTATGTTGTTTGCATTAGTGAGATGAAGAAGCCTATTTAATTTCAATAACTTCTGTTAATTTCTTCTGGAGTTATGGCCCTTGTTTCACTTTGTTGCACCTTGTGAACGCTCTTTATGTGCATCATTTAAATTAGTAAAACAAAGAAGCCTATTGAATTTCAGCAATTTCCGTTAATTACATCTAGAGTTATGGCCCTTGTTTCACTTGTTGAATCTTGTGAACGCTCAAATGACAAAAAATATCAACTGATCTGTATGAAATTGATATGCATCATTTAAATTAGTGAAATGAAGAAGCCTATTGAATTTCAGCAATTTCCGTTAATTTCTTCTGGAGTTATGGCCCTTGTTTCACTTTGTTGCACCTTGTGAACGCTCTAACGACAAAAGTTATCAACCGATCTGTATGAAATTTATATGCATCATTTAAAATAGTACAACAAAGAAGCCTATTGAATTTCAGCAATTTCTGTTAATTACATCTAGAGTTATGGCCCTTGTTTCACTTTGTTGAATCTTGTGAACGCTCTAATGACAACAGTTATCATGCGATCTGTTTGAAATTGATATGCATCATTTAAATTAGTGAAATGAAGAAGCCTATTGAATTTCAGCAATTTCTGTTAATTTCTTCTGGAGTTATGGCCCTTGTTTTACTTTGTTGCACCTTGTGAACGCTCTAATGACAAAAGTTATAAAACGATTTGTATGAAATTTATATGCATCATTTAAATTAGTAAAACAAAGAAGCCTATTGAATTTCAGCAATTTCCGTTAATTACATCTAGAGTTATGGCCCTTGGTTCACTTTGTTGAATATTGTGAACCCTCTAATGACAACAGTTATCATCCGATCTGTTTGAAATTGATATGCATCATTTTAATTAGTGAAATGAAGTAGCCTATTGAATTTCAGCAATTTCCGTTAATTACGCCGTGAGTTATGGCCCTTGTTTCACTTTGTTGTACCTTGTTACTTGTAAATACTCTAACGACAAAAGTTATTATCCGATCTGTATGAAATTTATATGTATCATTTAAATTAGTAAAACGAACAAGCCTATTGAGTTTTAGTTATCACCTAAATTAGTGAAATGAAGACAAACAAGCCTATTGAATGTCAGCAATTTCCATCAATTACGTCTAGATTTATGGCCCTTGATTTACTTTGTTGAGCTTTGTGAACTTTCGAACAACAAAAGTTATCATACATGAAATTCATATGCATTATTTGAATTATTAAAACGAAAAAAGCCTGTCGAATTTGAACAATTTCTGTAGATTGCCTCCAGAGTTACGGCCCTTGTTTTAGATTTTAGAATCTTGTGAACCTTCAAACAACGGAAATTATAATGTCATCTGTATGAAATTGTCTATTAAATTCCCCTAATTACCTACAAAAGAATAAATATGTGACAACCCTTGTTGACTGCTCGGACGATTTAGCTGCTGTGGGCGTATGTTTTTTTGCCTGGCAACCAATCTTTGTACAATTTGGGGCCATAATTCATGAAGTTACGGTCCGATATGCGCGAATATTGAAAGGAACCGAGATCTTTGGGTTATAAGCATACATTTCAAGTTTTAACCAAATCGGATAAAAATTGTGACCTCTACAGTGTTCACAACCTAAAAAGTGATTTTTCGTACAATCAGGGGCCATAATCCATGAAGTTAAACTCCGATACATGCCAATATCGAAAGGAACCGAGATCTTAGGGTGATAAACCTATATTTCAAGTTTTGTTGAAATCGGATAAAAATTGTGTTCTGTAGACTGGTCACAAACAATTGTGGACGGACGGAAGGACAGGGGCGACGACAATATACCTCCACATGAAAATGTGGGCGTATACAAAGTAATTTAATCAGTAATATTATTGACATAAACAGTCTGAACGTGAATTAAATATGGAAATTATTGAGAAGCGGTGGCCTTTTTTCTTAGTTTTTGTGGTAATCATAAAACTTTGAAAATGAACTAATAACCACAGAGCATTATGAAATATGATCAATTAAAATTATGAAATAAAGTGTGTTTTTTTTTTTATAAATGTTAGCCACAAAGTTGCCTATAATTAACAGGGATGTAATATGCTTTATAAAAATATATAGGCGAAAGAAATTTATCGTTGAAGTTCGTTGCAACAACCGCTGTGGGAGATATTAATTTTTTAAATTACACGTCTCTTTGTACTGATTTAAAAACCATGATCTCCACACATTCGGCATGTGCCAGTATTTAATAATTCTTTTTTAAAAATGGAATTCTTTTTAACCTAATCACCTAAAAAATAAACATTTCACGCGTAGGAATACACGCGAAGTTTGTTGCCGAGTGCCATTTTGGCCAATCAAAATAAAGAATACTTTTAGCCCCGATCCTTCAATCATGCCGTATTATAGTCAACAAGGACACATTTTTCTGGCATTCTGACCAGAAAAATGAAGTGCCTTATTCATCAGAATGCAATACAGCCCTGCAAGTTACTGGGTTTTAACGGCAACACCTGGAGGCATTGTGTGGAATATTCAAAACAGTGGCAGACTTTGGATGGAGAAGAAAAAAACATTGCAATCACGTATCGAGATGTGTTCGAAGGTATGTTTGAATGTTATTATTAGTTATTTTATTATTATTATTTTCTTAGTCTTAGTATTTAAATTTTTTCTAGGCTGTGAGTG